TTATGTAGTTTATAAATTTGATTTTATGTGGTTGTAAAGAATAGTTAGTTTAGGATAATGGGTTGTAAGTAATAGTTGATGCAGTGTAGGGAATGGCTGAGAAGCGTTGGTGTAGTTTAGAATATTTATTTATGCTGTTCAAGGTATTGAAAATATGCTTTCAAACTTTTATGTGTATTTGGAACAATGATATCATCGACGTCTATTGGTCTTGCAATTCAACTAAATCTAAGCGTTTCATGGCGTAGCTCTCTCAAAATCATTCTATAATTAAAGGAACCACAGATATCTGAAATAGATGGACAACATACACGTACAAACTACACAACCTGCTAACAACCTGTTAAGAATGGTTTTGAATTAGACTAGACGTCTTGATATCGTTTTTTTATTTTCACCATCTTTCACGGAAATCGTTTTCTATGTCCTGAGTAATAAATTTAACATTTATGCTGAAGCTCGTGTTGAATTTAATATAATGTACATCAAGCTAAAAATATCCCGTGCTTGGCATGTAGATATATTCAGGTATACGCCGTGCCAAATAAATATATGACAGACACACATCAATCTGATAATTCAGGGTAATTCTACCTCAAATTTACAACTTGAAAACTTGTTATTAGGTGGTTATCATTTTGCTGTGTTTGCCACTTCTGGCAGATTTTAAAGTCTCATTTGTTATACCCGATTACGTTATATTATGTAATATGTATGAAATTAATTATACTTTACAAAACCTTTTCGTAATTCAATAACGTGCATAACTTAAAAAATGGTTGGTTTTAATTTTTTAAACAATTTGCACATCTTCTATCAGTAATACTTTCGTTGATTTTAATGCATTTTAATTTGAAAAACATTTATTGTAAGAATTATCAGAAAAAGGGCTGCATCAGGGTGACCTGTTCACCAAAAACAACAAATCAGTTATTTACATCATATTTGGCCAAAATCTCCAGTTCATAGGGGCATCCATTTTGATGCGGCACGAAAATTGTGATAAATACTACTGTGGGTAGTATCATTTCTCAATTAATGTATCCTTTAAAAATTACCATCCCCAACCATTATAATGCAGTTGATCCTGGTAAGAGTGTAAATACCTCGTCTTGAAGGATTTCTAAACTCCGGAATATTTAACATATGATCACCAAATAAGCCCCTTTAATACAATTCATTTCTCATAGTTAATCTTTTCGTCATTCTCCATTTGTCATCTTGCTAATGAATATATTTGTCACAATTAATAGCTATGTTTTCCCGCACCTTACAAAGGTCACAGAGGTGACCCCTTCTGTTTCTTGCATTCCTCTATCCTTTACTTGACGATTGTTTTTTCGCAAAGGAAATAAGTCGAGGATTATTTTGAATAGATTGGAAATTAATTGAATTGGAGCTCAACTATTGCACAGTTTTCAGTGGGGCTAGTATGGCTCACCTCAAATCACTTACAATTCAAAATTCAGATGACACTGGCATACTAAATAATTTTATTTGTGGATTACACACACGAATATCCGTACACAACACGAAGATGTCGACCATATTCACGTACTTTTATTAGTTTTTAGTTTATTCAAGCTCAACAAATCGTTATGGCATTGATTTGATTTTGTATTGGCAATAAATTAGTTCGAGAAATTAGTCAAGAAATATATGTTTGGATGAAGGTTTAAACCAAAAATATTAAGGTACTTTTAGTCGTCGGCGGTGCTACATCACATCATCATTAGTCTACACCAACGACATACTGTATTTAATATCATCTGTATTATGGCATCTTTTGACTTCGCTCTTCTCACTTAAAGGGCTATACAGTCATGTAAAATACTATACTTTTTTGACTTGGAAGAATAGTCTTGTAAACTTTCCTAATTCTAGCAATTCCCATATATACAGGTGGTGTATAAAAATTTATTGTGTGAGGTCTTGAGTATTTAGTATAAGAGTTATCTAACAAAGTGAATAACGGAACACATCATTTTGATGATCTAACCGACCATAGTAATAGAAGCGATTTAGTTCTCTTCTTACAATTAATTTCAGATCTCCTGAATGACCTCCTCATATTACGTCTTGCTAATCTGAACTTCAAGCTACAGCGTTTGACACGATGACAACGAAGTTAGTTTATGGACTCCGAGTTACAAGAGGTCAAATAATTTTGGTTAACCTGCTACCTCCCAGTCTCGTTATTCACCTTTGAACAGGTGACTATGAGATATTCACACATTACTGTGAATTCTAGCCATAAAATGGGAGGGGAGCGTAGAGGTCCATAATAGTCCGGGTCTTAATAGATTGATGCTCATGTTTAAACGAAAAAGCCCAAATTTGTGGAATTGAGATGAAATGTTCTTGTATAAACTAGGTCTAAAAGACCAGAGTGTAATGATTTCTATAAGTGTTGCTGTGTCGATTGACGTTATTCATTTTCAAATTTGATTAAATATAATGGATCTAAAGGCTCTCTCTGTCAAATGCCCGATCAGTTAGATTGAAAACTGAGCATTTTATTAATCCTTTAATGAGATAATAACCAAGTTTGTAATAGCTGATAGTTCAACATAACATTTCTCATGAAATGCGAGAGTGGAGATGTGGTTTTGTCTCGACTTCATCCATCACTGCAATAATCCCCCTTCTCTATTTCTCTAGATTTGGTCTCTAGAACTTCTCTTCAGCCAGTAATGCAAATGTGTCATCTTCTCACAATACTACAAGTTGACAAACGTTTGACCTGTTCAAAGGTTAACTGCTCTAAATCCTGAACATTTGTAATGGTAGACATGTATTAATAGCCTTGTAAAGCCCTCAATAATTACTGGAGTGGTTTAATACCTAAAAATTGTGTTCTTCAATTGAAGAATTTGGCTACCAAGGTTGATTAATTTTTAAACTTTGGATTCGCAGTATTCTTAACATTTTTTTGAATTGTAGGGGTTTATTTCACAAAAACTGAACCTTTTTAATGCCCAGTTATCTGATTGGTCAATAATATCGATACCGATTTTAAATCTTATAGCTAGTTATCCAATCAGATTAATATCATTTGTAAATTTCGATTTATCTCAGTTAAATTTTTATGAAACAGGCCACTATTTGGGAATAATCTTCATTCATATAGATTTATCTGGTATTAAATACAGGTTCTTCAAATAGTGGTGTTTTTTTGTGACTGGAAAGCTAAAGGCGAGCGGAAGAGAAGGGAAGGATATTACTGCATCAAATTTGTAATATATGAAGACAAAATCCAATTCATTATTTTTATTCATCAGTTTTCAATATTTTCATGAACTCCATTTTTACATTAATGTGCTGCAAAATATGACATTTGACAATGACTATAGCTACAGACAAAAATAGAACACACACAAGACATGAACATTGACTTCGTGAATACCCTGATTTACAATATGTAATATCTTCTCGTTTAGCGGGGATTAAAAATAATTTAATATCAACAATAATAATATATTCTAAATAAAATATCATAAAGCCATTTCTACCTCACCTTCATTTGTTACAATACTTATAATAATTTACTCAGAGTAACATTTATGTGGGATTTTTTTATCAGTGTAACCCACAGCGACAGAATTTAAATCGACTATTTGAGTTAGACATTACAAATACATCTACATCTTCAGAAATTGAATTAGTATTTTGAAATAATCTAATACTGACATAATAATACTACGATTACCCGAAGAAGCAACTGAACATTTGGCAAGAGCTGTGGCACAACTGTTCCGTCTATAAGATGAAACATGTCATATAAATACGCGCATGAATTCGATCACATCAATGCATTTTCAATCGTGTACCTATGGGAGTATTATTTAGGAAAGAATTGAATATAACAATATGTATAAATACTAATATGACTTGATTGACATCAATAATTTTCAATCGAGTACTGTTGATTTTGATTTGAAGAATTGAATATTTCTGAATAAATTCCAAAAGTAAGGTATAAATAATTTACTTTAATTAATTCGAAAATTTATGAAATGGTTTAGGTTCTGAGTAGGTTTGTTTCGCAAAGAAAGCATTTCATTCTGATTGACATTTATGAACGTGGAAAATGTACCTCGTAATTTTTTTCTTAATCATTAAAAATAAATTGATAAATGCAGGCCAAATTATCTCTGATGTGAATGCACGGAGATCATAAATTAAGATGTAAAACAAAAATAAAATGCTATGTTTTATAACGAAAGATAAATGCACAGATCAACTAGCTAAATTTGAACTTAGTGTAGAATTTAATGTAATTATGATTAGTATCCATGAAGAAATAACATACTAAGAGAAAACACGGCAAAATTAAATGCGATGCAATACAATGAAGACCTCTGATATGTCACTGAAATCTGATTTTCTTGACATGAATTAGGCTTGTTTCCATAATACAATATTGTGATATAAATACATTTACAACAAAAGATCTATTTACAATTTGAATTATTTATTCCGTAACGAATGACCGACTTTCACACATTCCAGAATAGATGGCACCTTTTGGAAGCTTTTAATGTCTTTGGCTGAAAGTTGATATTTTGTTAACCAATTAACAGAAATGTTGGCTAAACACCATTGGTCACTTCAGTAAATATATTATCCACAAAACAACGCTTCTTTCTCGTATTTTTTCATCGTCCACGATTTCGCAATCTTACCACAAAACACTTTCTGTCGAGTCTCGCTATTGAAAGTTTACATTTATCATTTGTCTTTCTCACAAATGAGTTTTTGTCATGTAATTATTTTAAGAATAAAGTAAAGAAATGTAACAAAAAACAATAATTCAACAAAGAATATTAAGTATCCTTCTACTTCATGTCTGTCTGCGAATTTGGTACGCACACCACACCATAAACTTTGATTCTATTACACCAATCCATTGACGAAAATTGTTTGTCACAAAATTTAATATTGACTAAACATTTGAAATAAAAACTATTCAATTTTCAATGTAACGACAATTTATGTTCTTCAGCTGCTTTCTCTAAAGCGTTTGCTAGATTCATATTTTTGGCTATGTGAGAAAGTTTATGATCTTTTTTCCACTTCATTCTACGATTCTGGAACCAAATTTTAATTTGACGTTCAGTAAGATTAAGCGCATGCGCGATTTCTATACGGCGCCGTCTTGTGAGGTATTTATTATAATGGAATTCTTTCTCAAGTTCCAAAGTTTGATGACGAGTATACGATGTTCTGGATCTTTTTGAATCTGCGTCATTCCCATCTGAAAGTAGAAAAAATGTCAAATTGTGAATTTTACTTATGTAATAGATTATGACAAGCAAGTATCAAAACAACGAATTTTTGACCTTACATACTAACTACAATGCAACAAGAACGATTTTATAGAATAAAAAAGGACAGATATTTCTGATCAAATTGATTATTATTTATAAAATCAATGAAACACATTATTCTGCAATAGATGACATTTACTTGAACATTAATTATCCAACTTTCTGACCCATTTAAAGCATGTTTTTTACTTAAACAAATATTTTACATCCAAATATAGATATTTAATTGTTGCAATCCATGTAATGGCTCAAGCTATTACCTTCTTATGTTCTGGTGTACCTTTTGTATTTCAGGTTTTTATTTATCTAGACACAAAGAATATTGATTGTATATCGTAAAACTAAAAACGCTCAACTGAATTTTATTCAGAGGTTAAAAAGTCCGTGATCCTTCATTTTAAATTAATTGTAATTACTTGTCCCAATGATCTATGTCTTTCAATTTAAATAATGATACCGAAAAGATCAAAAGAAACACAATTGCTGTGAACTGGCTAATCACCAAATCAAATTTACCAGAGACTTGGTCATGACGTGATTCATTAAGAAACACAAAAATTAAACTCGGCGTAAAATTACAAATTTCCTTGAGAATAGAATCTTGTGTTTGATCGTCACATTGCGTTTAATTTTGCAGAAGAAAACTTGCATGAGAATTGCTCGCCTATTTAGTTATGTAAACTAATGGCAGCGAGAAACCTGCGACTGCATCAATAGTAAAACCAATTCCATGCCGAACAAATTTCAACCAATCAAGAGACGTCTTTAACACTCAAAATTTCAGGCAGTTACGCGCGCGTGACAAAATTTGTTCACCGCTTGGTATCCTCCAATGGGGCAAAGCTTCAAATAACAAAGAAAATCCATTTATATCTGCCTAAATTCGCCTCTCCTTCCCTTCCTTTTCTAATATTTTAAAGTCAAGTGTGACAAGGGTCAATTTAGCCAGTTTTCCCTGCTGTTCCGATTGTCTCTAGGGAAACACGACATTTCCATTCGTCATTTTAACATTTAATTACTACGTTGGTGCTTTCTTCGACTAATTTTCTAAGATTTATTTTAAATTTTCTTTTTTTCTAACCTGAGAAGAGCCAACAACGTTTAAATTAAAAGGTATCCATACATGTCACCATCAGTCTATGAGACGCCACAAGGAAAATTACTTTCATTAATACATATCATGCTGCAATGTCCTTACAGTTTGCTATTTCTATGTTCAAAGGTTTGATTATAAAAGGAATACCACAGAAAATACTACCAATGAACGTTATTTCCCAAAAGTATTCCAATTTGAGACGAACGCTCTTGAAAGGTTAATAAATGTGTTCGTAATATGATTTATGATAATAAATCTTTGGCCAGATTACACAAGAAATTTATTTCAAAAAATCATTAAAATTCTTCCGGTTTGGATCAAAGACTACTGAAAACCTGGCTAGCTTCGTGAAAATTTATTGTCGGAGAGTCGATATTGATTAAATAAGGAAAATGCACATTTCATTGTGTAATATTACCTGTTGAAATAAATCAAATGCCGCCATTTTTAATATTGAAATGGTTCATTATAATGTTCTATCAAAACGGGGTAAACTCTATGCACAAGATCAGAATTGAAAAGCTAAGAGTTTGTTTTATTACATTAATATTGAATAATAATGTCATTAGAACTATGAGGTTGGTATGCCGGAAACTGTATAATCATATACGAGTGATTGCATAAACTCGTGTAATTTACGTGATTAAATAGGGAAAGTAATGAAGCGAAAGGTGTACATGATCAGTCTATTGACAGGTGTTTAATACAGATTTCTCAATCAATAACTAACACAATCATTATTATTGAATATTCATCATGTTGGTCGACAGCTTGGCCCACACAGCGCGATTTTTTTAGTTTATATGTTTCATGCTTCAAATATTAAATAATCTCCGTAGCATAATAATGATTTTTCCCCGTGAAACAGAAGTTGATAGCTGCGTTGACTACCGTTAAGTCCTCTATAGACTCCTCGGATATGCGATAACTTATCTATCATGAACGCTTGTCGTTTATATTTAAGTCCACAAATTCAACTGAAAATGAAAATCTTGTAATCGACGGACCCTAAGGTAGCACAGAATGCATAGAAATATTGGTTAAATGACAAAGTGGATTCTGTGTTACCTGGTACTCCTAAATAGTGTATCCAGTGTACATTGTATTAAGAGATTCAATTGCTTGTCAACAGCAATTTAGTACTCGGGTGAACTGAGACGAGTCCAAATGAAAGCACTGGCCTAGGTCACAGAGCAATATATAAGCTTATTGACAATGTGAAAATTAGATTACTTGTTAAAAATGTAGTCTTATTCAGTTATGAGAACTCGTAACTTACACAAGTAACCAATGTAAAAGACAGATACGTCGTGATACGTCTCGGCAACATATATCTATGTTCATTACAATTCTAATTCAACTTAATTCAGAGATCTGAAGATCGGAAATTCAAAGTCACATTTCAACTTGGACTTTATGATTAATGAGAATTCATTGGAACCTCAAACCACCATTCTATAAAGCATTGTTTTTCTATTCCCAACTGTCTCATTAACAACCTCTCTTTAAATACTACCTCTTATTTGGGGCTTAGTTAACAATCAAATATGTATGAAGTGACGGATTTACGCAGTTTCCTTGTCTTAAAGACGATGTTTGCTTAGCCAGGATTGATAATTACCACGACCAAAAAGGCACCTATCGATTAGAGGATCAGACTGAGATTTTTTTTCCATACTTAATATTCACGCTAGGGAAAAAGACGTTTGTCAAATCACATCGAATTATTACGCATGCAATTATGAATGTTGTAACTACAGTGTGAGTAATTATGATCATTTATCATAGCACCCTCTCTAACAATTCTGATTTTAGATTGTAACAAATCTGAATTCATTATTTCTAGCAGATAACCTATAACTTCTGCAACATTATCTTGTTTTTTATTCGCTCGTTTTAATCATACGTCATCAGAGCCACCATTGGCCTCCAGATGGTCCACAATTAGAATTCAGCTCGTCTTAGAGAACTAGCAAATACTTGAATTACGTTTAAATCTAGTTTATAAATATTTTCACAGAGATGTTTGTTGCTTTTCTCTCTAGGTTTTCTTGGAAATTTGTATTCTCACTCTATATCTATTCTACCGAAAACTAAAATGAATCCAGAATTAATAACCGATGCGAAGCACTCGTTTGCATAATGTGATAAACCCGAAACGAGGTGAAATAAAAAAAAATTAAATGTAGCCATTAGATTCAAGCCGTAAAATAGTCAGGGTGTCCCACAAATGAACATTAACATTACATTAAAAATATAAAATATGGCGATTAAAAGAAGGTTAGACTGGGTCAAAGAGTAGAATGATATTTTATGGTCATGCATTGCCTTCTCAAAACCATACACATTACAAAGTCATCAGAGTGGAAATATTGTTGAATCGTATGAAATCTGATCCTTGCCTCGTTTATAGCCACTGTGAATTACCCAGCATGCCTCCACATATATTTACTTCCGCTCAATTTACCAAATTTAGAAAACACACGTGAACAACCAACCCTTTACAGCGATGCGTATTTCATTTCATAACAAAATACTTGATACGCTAGATAAAATAAAAAATAACATTTTTAAAATATAGGAGACAAAATACCAAGAAAAAGATAAAAGTCAATATTCAGAGAGGACTGAAAGCTAGTAGATGTACTGTGAAATCTTGTGAGTAAATGTAAAACGGCACTGGTTGTTAGCTCGTAACTAAAGAGATAATTCACGCTACATTCTAAATGTTGTCCATTATTAAGATGAAAGATAAGAAGGTAATGAAGCGAATATTTATCCAATTCTCTTTACAATTTAATAATACAAGTCAACGTATCAATATACCATTAAGGACCTCAAAGCGTGTATACATCCCATAATTTATCATATTACCCAGCATGCTATCATCTCGTCTCTCTTTCATTCTCACCTTTTATAGAACAAAATCATAAGACTGAGAATAATTTCCAGTCTGTCGCTCTTTAACTTTGGTGAAGGCGTCTCACTTATTTTTTCACTTAAGAGAACTTGCTAAAAAAATTCTTGTTTCTTTAACACCAAATGTAATTGAAAATATAAAATTACTGTAAATCATGACCTATTTCCTTTTTTAATGAAAATTATATTTTCTTCGCAGACAGACACAATTGCATATTGGTCGGCTTAATTTTACTACCTTAGGGATTTTACCAAATTTACATGGAATCTTAAGGATATATGAAGAAGGACAAGTCAAGGGAAAGTCCCTTGCAACGTAAAATTTATTATGATAGGATAGCTTTTTACGTAAATGTAATAAAAAAAATTGTAATGTGTAACTAAGAAGTTGTTCTGATAATGATGATGTGCAAATTACTATTAGATTAAATTTGTGTTGCCCTTTTTTCATATTATATTGGAACAGTCGGCAATCAATGAATTTTGTATCCAGAAACTTAAGTAATTAGACCTAATGAGTTTTAGTTGCTGATGACTTCTAGATGAGAAAGAAGGGTGATTAATGGAATATATTTTGTATTTAAAATGAAAGACAACACGAGTATGTAATTATGAGGTAGGAGTTGATGACCACCAGCCTTCTGTTTAATGACAGGTTTCTGGTGAATATGAAAATGACGTTTGCCATCTTGAAAAATAAATCACAGTATTTTGATAATGAGACGTACATATTGAACCTTTTGTAATATTTGAGGAAATGGAAAGTCTGAATCAAATATTCAGGTCAATCAGCTTTTCGTTAAAAGCCGACTTCAACGAATTTTGACTTATCAATATATTGTGTACGTATTGATTCACAATGCTGTAAAATAGCGATTTATAAAATGTTATATCTAGCAAAATCAACTCAAA